AGAATCGAATGAATAAGTAAATAATTTATTTTTACACACATGGAGTTTCTTAACATATAATATACCATTATAATAGATGGAAAGAACGATTTTGCTAAAATATTTAAAAATTTAAGTTAAGTTTTAATTAAGTACAGATCTTATAATAATTTTGTTTGGACCATCAAAATAATTATGGAGGATGCTTAAATTGGTTGCAATTATTTTGATAATCGAATAAAATTATTTTCAGATTTATACGTAGCTAAATTTTGAAGGGAATCCCGTTTGTCTACAAATCGATTGCCTACAGTATCGTTTGTCTACATGCACTTTTGCACACAAATAAAAAGTTTAGAAATGGAGTTACTTTTGTCTACATGTATTATTGCCTACAGGTCGATTGCCTATATACATTATTGCCTACAGTTCACAATCTTTCACGCAAAATGAGGGCCATCTCACATAAAAAATTGGGGGTTGATTAGGGTTAAATTTTTTGGAAAAATATTCCAAGCGAACATTGTTTACAGTGGGCTGACACTCCACTGTTCACATGACAGATTTTCTAAGAATATAAATTATTTTCTTACTTAACTTTAATTTTATATTTGTGCGCAAAAGTGCTTGTAGGCAATCGAACTGTAGGCAATAATATATGTAGACAAAAGTAACTCTGTTTCTAAAATTTGTATTTGTGTGCAAAAATGCATGTAGGCAATAATTTTTGTATGCAAACGAACTGTCGGCAAAAGCAATGTAGGTAAACGATATTATAGGCAATCGATTTGTAGGCAAAAGCAATCATCTCCTAAATTTTTAGATACTTCAAAATCATTCTTTGCATGAGACTTTTTTTCAGCTGAATTTTGTTTTTTTTTTTGGTGTATGATTCATCCTTCATCTTCTTTTTTCTAACATGAAAAAAAGAGAAAAGATGGACCATATAAGAAGTTGAGCTGAAAAAAGAATAGAGATTAATAAGCTCGAAAACTGCACACGCTCATCTCATTATTTATTTAACTAACATTTAATCGAAAGAGGAGTTTCGAGTTCACTTTGCCGGCCAATGATACGCGCGCCGACGAATCGATCATCCGACGACGGAAAAAAGAAAGTGAGAATAATTTAATCGACGATCGACGGCGCAATATGCTTAGTGTTCATTTCATTTCGTGACATGCGACACACACACGTCGCTCATTCAAATGAAAGATCTTTTCTCGAGTCTCATTTTGCGTGAGGCGTAAACAGGACAAATACATTGTTGAACTTCGCGGTTGGACTGTTAAAAGAAAAAAGTAATACCACGTGTGTTTTCACGTCGACCACGGGGACCTCGATGAAGAGATTGATGGCAGGATGTTGCAAGCCCTTCACCACAAATATGCATGACGATAGTAACAGAGTTTATTGCTTTCGTTTCTCTCTTCCTCTTTCTTTCTCTTGGTTTCGACATTGAGTTACGTTCTATTTTTTATGGCTGTGCCTATGATGCGTGCATCACTTATTTACTAGCTAAATCAGACCCGAGGAGACTGAAGAAGGCTATTTTCGAAGAAATGGAGACCTTATAATTTGACAGAGATGCGTGAGACCTTATGATTTGACAGAGACCTTATAATTTGACAACAATTACGTGATCGTGATATTTGCTGATTAGCTGGAGTGAAATTTGTTTCCTATCCTTATTTTACGCCTAATGAACGATGAAGACAAAAGCATTGACTATTGTGTCATTCTATCTTTATTAGACGTAAAACAAGAATAAAATGCGATTTTTATTGCAGTCAATTGGCAACTATCATGATCACGTGACTTGGCGCGTTTTTCTATTTAAATTTCTATTATATAAGAGAAATTTGTTCATGTTGCTTAAAATTTTCAAAAATTTTTAAACTTGAAACAGATATAGGTACGTATATTTGGATTTCGAAAAGAAAGAAAGTTCTATAAAACTAGTAGAATCAAATCAGCAGAATCGAACTTATCGAAATTTTTAATATATACAATACCAAAAACTAACTGAAAAACGAACTGAAAAAGACGAAAAATTTTCTTCTCACTTTGTGGATTTGTAACGTGTCCAAAACGAATTTGAGAAAATTTTCGATTACATATCGTGTAAGCTTGATACTTTCCCTACAAAATCGTTTTTTTTAAATATTCCTACGACTTTTGATTACTGAGTTATCGCGGATTAAATAAAAGAATTATTTTGACTTTAATTGCTCATAACTCCATTAAAAATTGTCGTATCGTATAATTTAAAAAAGAGATTTTTAAAGCTGAAACTTTACTCTATTAAGATATATTTATATTGTTGGTAAGAAAGTAATTGCGGTTTTTACTGATAGATGTCTTTTAAAAATACGCGATGACTTTTTACTATACCTAATATTATGTGTCATTTCCAAGAAAAGTGGCGCTGTTAATTTAAGATTTAAGCTAGCAGGAAAATTTCAAAATGTAACTTGAATGGATTGCATAGTTAAAAAATTCGAATTTCATTTCGAAATTTTCAGGGTTGCTTCATAATTGCAATGGGAATATGATATTTTTATAAAATTTTTTAATTGATGAGTCGATAAAAAATATTTATAAAAATTGATATGAACAAATGGAAAATGATTTATTTATATGAAAATGATAAATTAAAAATAACCCATCCATTACAGAACAATTTACGATTTTTAAAATCGATCTCTTGCATTTTTTTGTACGACTAATGGGTTTCAACGATATAATAATTTAAATGTTCGCATGAGCGATGTTTTTTCATGAATTTTTGCAACTAACATGCGTCAATACACAAAAAACGATGTCACATTTTTTTCGCAAAACATGAAATCTCATATTTTTATCTGTAAAATATGTTAACAAATTAAAAAAAAATAAAATAAAATAACGATGTTTCAAAGGTGCCCATTTTGACGTGGAATACCTCAAAGATTATAAGTATTATATATACTTACAATCTATAAGGTAAATAATAAAGTCATTTAAGGAGAAAACATGTAAAATATTAACTTATTTTCAATGGTATAAATTAATACAAATTCAGTTGTGTTAATATTTGTCCTTATGTTGTTTTTTTTATGATCCTGTACTTAAATCTTAAATTAGCAGCGCCAGTGTTTTCTTGGAAATGTAGTACATAATATAGTAAAAATTTAATCGTATTGATTTCTGATTATTTTTATCTTTTTCTTTTTTTCTTTATTATTTTTCTTCTTTTCTTTTATTTTGAATTGATCCTGCCAGCTTAATATTAAGCTAGGACTGCCACGATTTTTTTCGAAATAGCACACGGTACAAAATTATCATTAATGGTACAGTAGAGCTGAAAGTAAAGATGCAGAGTAGTAGAGCAAAAAGTACAAGCAACGTGAGCAGATCTAGGGTTTTTACAAAGAAAAAAGAAAAAGTTCTATTTTTTATTTCTCCGGGACAGATTTTTTGAATGGAAGATGTTCCTGTTCCGCGTCACGATTCTTCCTCGCGTGTTTATGGAGTTAGTACATTCAAATGCGATTCGCGAACGCGAGTCGAATTCTGCGTAGGTATTACATAAATTTCGTGCATGAAAATCAGAACAAGTTTCACCAAATTCGCATTCGAGGAGTGTCGCGTTGTAGCGAGGGAAATTTGCGGACGCGAAGTCGAGTGACTTGTACGTTTCTAGTATGAGTCGCGTGAACATGCGTGTAATACGCAACAGCGGATTCATTTGTTCAATGGTTAATTGACTTTCGTTCTGATTACGATCTTGATTACGGAAAGCGTTTTCGTGCGCCCATACAGCTCGAATATTTCATTCCATTAAAAGTGATCTTCTCGCTTCATTCGCTTCCTAGTTAAGCACAAGTTTCCAGCATTCCGTACTATTATTTAGGTGCTTTAGGAGTTAGACACAATGAAAAGCACAGGCAATAGGAACAGAGAATAACGGATTTCAATCTACTAGAAATCATGTATTACACCTACACTGTAATACACGATTTAGTCTGAGACAATCGAAAAACACAGGCAACAGAAATATGAAATAACAGATTTCAATCTACCTGCAGAAATCGTGTTACACACATAGCATAATATACAATTTTTGATATGGATTGACATCTGTTATTTTATATTTTTATTAAAAAAAACGAGTTTGCTAAAGTATTTAAAAATTTAGTTAGATATATAAATCTGAAAATAAATTTGACATTTTATCCACCAGTGCCCCACATAATTATATTCGTGTGTATAACAAAATTATCTTCAAATCTGCATATTGTTAAATTTTTTTCTGTTCTCCAAAACTTCAACATCTTTGCTGGCCAATGCAATCTGATTTGAAATATCATTTGTAATTTTGAAGAGCAGAATCAGATTTTCTCCAATATTTTTTAAACAATTAAAAGATATTCTGCTAAAATAATGATATGACATTGCATTGTTACTACACTATTCAAGCATATATAACACTGTTCCAACAAGAATGGAATCAGTATACTCACATTCTTATTAATCAAAACAAGCAAATAGTATATTTTTCAAGTATTTACATTATTTCATCTAATCCCTGTAAATTCAAGAATATACGCTTGCTCGATCTCTTCACCTGAAACGCTGGCTGCACGTTAAAAATAAATTCTTTTCCGTCAGATTACGATCTGGCAGCGTTTTATCTTTTACCGAATTTCACGGGCGCCGCAAGAATTTCGGAAGATTATCCCGGCCAGGGGGGTGGTTCTCGCATTCTTGTTTGAACTCCAATGCAACCCTCGATGCACTGCACCAGCGAGGTCGCTCGGTCGTCTTCGTCGACTCTCGGCCACGACCGGCATGCGTCTAGCAACCAGCGCCGTGACCTGTCGGCAGACTACCAAAGCAGACCAAAGTTAAGTCAGACGCCGACGATCGGGAAACGATGTCGCCGTCTTTGTTGTGCGCGCCGCCGTCGCCGTCGCCGTCGCCGCCGCCGCAGCCGCAGCCGCTGCCGCTGCCGACCATCGCCGCCTCCAACTGCAGGCCCGCAGTCGGTGTGCTCGCCGTTTCCACCGTTTGTCGCGTCTCCGCGACTAGCTCATAAACCATCCGCGTAAATTCGCGCGCGGGACCGTTTGTGCTGCTGCGCCTGATTGAAAGCGGCGGCGGTCGGACCGCCGCCGCCACTGTCGCTGGCTGTCGCTGCCGCGCGACGCGACGCGGCGCGGCGCGGCGCCCTGACGCGTCCGTCGCACGTGCACGCGTCCTGACGCGTCCACGACAGAGAATATCCGTGGGAGACTGGGAGTATCGATTCGTTTGAGAAAGACAGAAGGAACATACAACACAAAGAGAGAAAGAGAATATATATCCGCTCCGCGTTTCGCGTGCGGTAGCGCGGCGTCGCGTCGCGTTGCGTTGCGTTGCGACGCGCGACGCCTCGGCGACACGCAATTTCACATTCGCGCCCGTCGGCACTGTCGGTGGTAGGCGAGACGGAAGAGAAGGAGGAGACCGGAGTATATCGGAGTAGGAGTATAGACAACGGCGACGGCGGCGGTGGCGGCGTCACCACACGCGCGTACCGGGGCCTAACGAACTCGTGTGCTCGTGTGTTGTAACAACGAGCGTCGACGCCGCGTCACGCGGCGGTGTGGCCGCGCGATAACGCAAACACGAGAGAGGGACGCACAGTGGCGGCCGGCGACGCCGTAACACGCAGCAACGTCACGTCCCCGATGGTGAGTTTGTCAATCGGCGCCGACGTCACGCGCGCGCCGCGCCACGCCGCGCGTCACGCCGAGTAAACGCGCTCTCCGCTCCGCTCCTTTACGCTCGAGAGTCGAGATGAACAGCGGCGACGACGACGAAGACGGCGTTGATTTTGCTCAATCGAATTCTCGGAAAGGCCACGCGTGGACTTTCATTTCTCATTTCGCGAGGTCGTCGTCCTCTCTCTTTCTCCCACCTTCGTCACGAGTTTATTTCTGTTTTTTTTTTTTCATTTTTTATCTATTGTTTTCTTATCCCATTGTTGTTTCTCCGCACGCCTTGTCTATTTCACAGCCTTGATGTTTCCATTCGTTTTCCGTCTCCTTTCTGCTCGACGCGGCACGCGAGCGCGACGGAAGACCGAAAATCGTGACGTGAATGCGGAGCACGCAGTACGAGAAACGACTCTATTCGTTCGAGAAATTCCTTCTTCGATAACGAGGATCTTATGCATTTCTTCGCGCACGGTTTTCGATAACGTGGAAGTCACGCCTGTCCCAGGTCTCGTTGAAAACGAAATTTGCGGAGATCGAAGTTCATGTCGATAATCAGTCGATGATCTGTCGTGGCTCAATTTCCGTTAATTTCCAGATTAATCCAGTAGACCGGTTGTGGCGAAAGAGAAGTAAAATGCGGATATCGAATTCGGGCGATGGATTTTACGCTGATATTATGCAATCCGGTGTAATATCTTAGTGGTATTATACGCGTTAATAAAACGGATTTATTTGATATCTGACATTTCTTCATGCAATCTAAACGTAGATTTTTTTTTGTACGTTTTTTTATTCGTTGTCTGACACATCTTGCAATCATACGTCCTTTATTTCAGAATGCAGCACTACCTATTTTCCTGCAATTATTCCTCTTTTCTAAATTATTGATTATCCAAACCCTTACGCCAAATTATATTCTTCATCCGTCTTCATTGTTCACGCTACTTCATCGATGCAAAATTCCCTAGAAATTAATGGAATTCCCTGCATGGTTGGATTTTTATGTCACATTTTGTTATTCTTCAAATATACTACTCAATCCTTGGCTCGAAGTTAGTAATCGATCGGAATTCTCGGAGTTCTCACGCGACTTCTATATACCCGCCATTTGTAATACAACTATGACATTTACGTTGTAATCGTTACATCAGTGATTTCAAGAGCGCACGTGTTCTTCGCGGAACATATTAGATTGATATTTAATTTTTTAACTATAAAATAAACAATTGCCTGCATTACTTATGAGGATCCAATATATTCCGAAAAGTCAAGTTAAGAGAACCATTGCATTAAAGATTTTTTTAGTATTATATAAATATGTATTTTTAGTATTATATAAATAATAAGGTTTCAGAGTTTTAACGAATTTTCTTTCATTTTCGGGTCACAGTTTCACGAATCGAAGTCTTTTTGGTTTCCTTAATTATTAAAAGTCGAGAGACAAGTTTAATATACATCATACCTATGCCGTTTTGGAAAGTTGGGTACTGCCAACTTAACAGTTAATAATGCAGGCATTGTCAGCAATATTAATAGTAATTTACATTGCTATGTTGAATCGATCTCTCAATAAAATATTTAAGTCTCCAAATCAGGACAAAAATACAAAAAAATTTGTTAATGAAAGTCAAAATGGAAAATCATGAAATCTGGAAATTAGGGAAGAGTTTCTTATAGAATCTTAGAATGAAAGATTTATGATAATCCCGGATCTGTATCTAATTTTTTAGATCTGTAACTAATTTTTTAGATGTTTCCGTATAAAATTATTAATTAAGAGTATGATTTTGGTTGTCTGTTTAATGGTGGGAAAACGCCTTTCTCTTTTAATCGCTTGTAAAATTTATAGATCTCTCTGCGTGAAAAATCGATTCGAGATTGATCAAAGTAACCGTATATATATAATATATAATATATAAAGGACAGCTCAAGATGAAAGATAGCTCCAGGAAGTCTTCTCTGTAATGCTTCTCGAATAGTCCCTTCTCTTGTCGATGTTATCATATCAGTCGTCGAAATCAAGGGCAAAGTCGATTGTATACATGTGATTGAGAAATCACAAGGGAAACCTTCTCCGATCCATTTTCAAGCGTCGATCAGAAATCTGTCTTGTGGGCGCGATTGCTTGATTACTTACTGTACAAGAGTTGAATTACGTCAGTGTAATACATGTCGAGACCGAGCGGAGTTGGATGCACGAGATACTTTTGGAGTGTCGTCTAGTCGAAATTGATCAATTTCCCGAGTTATTACGGAGTAGCCCAGATGTCTTCGTGTCACCGTTAAATGACGCTCGACTTGTCAGTGTTCCGTTTCAAACGTGAATGCGATTATGTAAAATTATATGAATAAACGTTTCCGTAATGACATTCGAAAATAGCAAAGCGAAAGTAAATACTTGGAAATTTCAAAGAGAATCAATTGACATCCGATATATCTGGATTTTATCATTAGCGTCAACCTGCGTAATCAGGAATTATTTTCCATTTATAATAAATCGACAGATAAATTAGATCGCAAAATAACGTGGATAAATTAAAATGATTTTTTTTTAACTCGTAGTACTTACATAAATAAATTAGTATGTTTATAGCCTTCTTTACTTTATTGGTGCTCGTTTGTACCAATGTAGTTTAGGCCGCTTTCCTTATAGAGGACACACTTGACGTCGTTCAATCCTTCTTAACATTCAATGAATAACATAGAATGATACTTGTGTCAATTGTGCCGCCTAAAAGGGGAAAGTAGTCTTAATTTTAATCTTGATTCCACTAACTCTTCTTTCTCCTCGTCTTTTTCTAGTTCTAAAAATTAGAAAAAGATGAAGAGCGAGTTAAACCGAGATTAAAGTTAATCTACATTAGTAGAAAAGTACATAAGATATAAATTTCAAAAAATTCTAAAAACGTAGCCGTACACGTTGCTCAATGTTTTTCAGAGATCGCGTGACAAATCGAGAACGTTGTTTGTCGCGTTCGCATGCTCTTATAACTTGCTGGAATTCTTATCTTGACTTGTTTTCTCAACAACGTTAACGACTAAACGTAAATATGTAAAGGATGCGTTTACGAAAAATTTAATCGATAAAACTAGCTATGTTCGGGAAACATACTCCTACGCCGGTGACGGCGATCAATAACATTCTCGGTGTTCTTTGTGCTCCATTTTTCCGAGATTGGACCTTTTATTATCTCAAGTAAGTTTCCTTGTCCCTCGCTTTAGTCACGGCACATTGATCGACTCGTGAAGATGTGGATCATAATAAAGACATCGAGACGTCAAAGATGAAAAATCGATCTCTCTGGATTATATTTTGATGACATATCATAATTATCTGCCTGTCAACTGTTATCATCTGTAATTGACGATAAAGTTCCTTTGCGACTTTATCTTTCATGACAGGCTATCCGTGAATATAAAATCTACTTCATAGAAAGATGATACTAATATAGTCACTTACAAGAGCAACGTTATTATATAAAGTCATGAAAATTCCGTTTCCGTAAAAGATTTTGATGTAGACTTTTCTGTTTCGCGCGGAAAGATCGAGGATGAATTACGATTGATTGAAGGTTCGGTATGCAATGACGAATTATATCGATTCAATAAGGACGACACTATTATTATCCGATCGAATTCCATGTATATTCGTAGAATACTTGCTACTGTGACATTATATCATCTCGTTGAGTATGTGAGTGTCAGGGTCGAACTTGACATCACGGTGAGCTAAAGACAAAGTAAAGAAAAAAGTTTTACATTTTTCAATAATTAACACCGAAGACTACTAAAAGACATACAAAAGTTTTGGATATTTATTTTAGTAATTAATTATTTGTTCTCATCTTCATGATTATGCCTGATATTGCTGAATCTATTCTCTTTAGGCAGATTTAGAAAATTGTTTTAATATTTTCAACTTGTAACTGAAACATATGAGTCCTAATGACTCTGGGACTTTTCATAATTTTTAAATTGTAATTATTTGCAATAACTTTGTTTCACAAACTTATTTTTCAGTTTTAAATTTGAAAAATTCTTTAAAAAATAAAACTAATAACAAAAATTCCAGTAACTCCTAAGAATCCATATCGTTCCCTTATTTAAAAAATTATAATTAAAAAAAATGTAATTTTTGGATTATTATTATGAGTTTATGATCAAAGTTTAAAAACGAAGTTTTATTTTTAATTTAATTTTTAATTATTCCATCTGGTAAACTGATCAAGGTAAATATAAACTCTTGGTGATATTTCGAGTTATGTTATTTTTTTAATGAATTATTTCGACTTTTTTTGTTACAATTTTAAGGTATCAAAATAATCGTCAACGACTTAAAAAGAGTTTTTTAAGGCTTGTAAAATGGAAATGACAAAATGACATGTTTTCAAGAGTATTATTTTTGCCGATATTATTTAATTAGTCATTAATTTTTTGTTAATTAAAAAAATTTTTCTTTTTTCTGAAAAACTTAATTTTTTTTTAGAATATTACTTTTAAAATGAGGGAATGATATGTTTTTTTAATGTAAAAAAAAGTGTATATTCCTGTTCCGAGTTCGTTATTCACGTTTTTCACTTCCAATTCTCTATAATTATGTCTGATATTGCATGTACCTTGAAAGTCTTCCCTTTGGGCATCACGTCGTATTGAATTTTGCAGCAAAATAAAGTAGCGAGAAATTCTTATTAGCCGCTTCAGATACTTGCATCTGCCAATTAAAGTAGCAATTTTAGATATAATACGCCAGAGACGCTTGCCACGTCAGTGACTACGTCATCATTTACGCGGATAACGATGCTGTATTAACGATCGTAGACGATGATTTCATTTTTCGCCCACACACTACGTTCCCAATTAATATCTCTATTGCTGTTGCGCAATTTTACATATGCAACTTGTAAATAAAGGACCGATTTGCCAATTATCTGTACAGCTCTCTTTATAATGGCGGCACTTTAGGAACTTTGCTCTCCCGCTGCGATGAAAATACGCACATATCATGCGAAGCACCCGCCTACCCTGCTAAAAATAGCGCGAATATCCACGTCTTCTTCGTTTTGTTCAAGTAAAGAACGTTATTTTATAAATGTTGATAAATGAAGAAGAAATAAAATTACAGAGAAATATGAATGTTACGATAGCTTCCGTGTATGATCGACGATAAAATACACCTAAAGCTAATTATAAAATGTTTTTCCTCAAGAGATGTCACAATGTTAATCCATCATTAACTATGTTGAATAGAAATGACATCAGAAAAGGAATGACGAGCTACCTCTTACGTATACTTTGAGATAGATAAATCCATCTCTCGATAAGAAAAATTTTGTAAAAAGACATCTCAAAAGTATTAATTTTTAACTTGTGGATAATTAATTATAAATATAAGCGCAACGTGGAAAGAAATGCATTTATTCTGACGTGGAGAAAAAAATTATTGCTTGATTTTGTTTTCGTTTGACGTCGCCTCTGACGTCATGATCCGATATATAGTTGTCGAGTGACGTGTTAGACCTTAATATTCCTAAAAGACGGTCCTCTGTCCCTGATCGAAAGCGGATCTCAATTTGGTTCTGCATCGTCGAATAAATGACGTGCAATATCGATGAGGTTGCTGCATACGGTGACGTGCAATCCTTCTAGCTGAATTCTAGCTGATCAGCAGATTGCTTTATTTCTGATAAGTTTTTGAAATACGCATATCTTCCGATCTTTTCTACACAAAAATAATCATTTTGCTGAAGTATTAAAAAATTTTGCTATATATAGTTATACAGATTTAAAAATAATTTTATTATCAAAATAATTACGTAGGAATATCAAGCATGAATGAGCAATGCTGTAAAAAGTTTTAACATTCTAGTAATTAGTTCTTAAAATAATATTATGAGAATAGTTATTTAGATGGTGCAAAATTATTTTTAGATCTGTACTTAGATAAATTTTTAGATATTTCAGCAAAACCATTCTTTCCATGTAGGTATCATTGGAGCATTTGTGAAGTCTAGTATGATCTAAATTTCCAATCTGATTTCAAATAATATGGTAAAAATAAAATTTATCTCAGTGATATCTCGGAGAAAAATTTCAGATATTTTCAAGGCAGTATATCTTACAAATAGAAAAGAGCGCGTTAATTTTTCTATTTTATCAATGGAAACAATAAAATTATATTTATTTATACGATATTTCCTTATGTTTTGGACTTATTAGCCTACTAAAATATTATTTAGAATAAATTTGGCGTAATAATTTATTTTTGTGTGGAACAATTTTAGACTATTAATGTTCTTTTTTCTTGAAATTTAAAGTTTAAAGTAATTTTGGCATAAGTACAGAATTTATACAGAAATCTGCATAATCACGTAAGATTTATTGAAGTGATGAAGCGAGATCTCGTATAAATAGGTATCTTTGCGTGTGTTGCTGTATTATTTATAATTTTAAATAACGGAAGTATTATCACGTCTCTAGTTACATAAGCAAAGTTCGTTACAATGTCGAAGCGGAACGTTGATTTGCGTTAGAAATTTTTCCTTGTGATGTGCGTCTTCTAGTTTTCCTTCAATATTCGTCTGTTTTATTGAATATAGGCGAATGCATGTTTGTACTTTCGGTTCTTTGGTTAATTACATTTTAATCTGCAGAAATGTGTATCTTTAAGATATGAATAGTTCATTCTTTTTGCGCAAAACATATTCAAGATTATTTTTTGCTTTCACCACATTCTTTTCCAATATTTTAAAAATACACGGAAATAACGGTTGTTTTGTTGAAATATCTAAAAATTTAGATACAGATCTGCAAATAATTTTATAGGACTATACAAAAACATTATGTAAGACACTCGAGCTTAACGAATAATCAAAAAGTTTTATTATTCTAGTACCTAATTACTTTGAGGGAAACTAACAAAATTATTTTTAGATCTGCATCTAGCTAAATTTTTTAATACTTTAAAACTATTCTTTCTATATACGGACATTTATCTCAGGGATATCATAGAATTGTGTTTTTGACAGGTTATCGATCGGTTTACACGAAAAGAATGATTTTGCTGAAGTATCTAAAAAAATTTAGCTATAGATATGGATCTGAAAATAATTTTGTTGGACCGAAATAATTATGTAGAATATTCAAACTTGTTGGAATGTCAAAACTTTTTGCAATAGTACTCATCATGTTTGAGATCTTATGTAATTATTTTGATTGCCCAACAACATGTTTTTTAGAGCTGTATCTTTCTAGCTGAATTTGTTGAACATCAGAAAAAACTTTCTTTCTACGTATAACTCTTATTATTTAACAGATGCAAAATTAAAATTAAAGTGTTGTAAACATTAGAAAACTGTGATTTAAAAAATTCCTCCGTAGAATTTGTAACAAAATGCAATGCCAAGGGAATTTTTTTCTAATTGAACACTGTATAGCGGGACTCTCGAAGTAATAATTTTTTTTTTTTTATATAACTTTCTCGTATTTCACGATGGGGAAAACTTTTATGGTTTCGAATGTTTAGAAAAATTTTCAAGTTGAGACGTCGGAAAATCTCTGAGGAAATTCGCTAGAGACGAAGATCGAAGAAGTGATTATCTTATCGTTCGTTGCCTTCTAGAGTTGTCAAGTCGTTATCTTGATGAACTTATTTAGCTCTTTTGTGTATGTTATTCAATTTTTTGTTCTCACGGATCTCCGGGATTGCGTCTGCGGCATTTCCAGGTTCGACATTGTAAACAGTTTTATCATGTGCAATCGGGAGCTTTGGGTAGGTGTATGAATCATGAATGAATATAAAGCATCTACGCGATTGTATATACGTGTCGCGCTATATTCTCTCAACATGTGTTGTTTTACGACTGATATTATCTTCCAAGGTTGGACGCGCAGTTTACGGAAATGCATTCCACGTTTTCGCGGGATTAAATCTGCGACGTGAAGATATGTGTATGTGAACTTTAAAAACAAAGTCCGAAAAATCCAATTTCTCTCGAATATTTACATCATGATTCGGGCAAAATACCATTCTCCTTTGTTTTTCAATAATAAATTTAATTAAACGTAAATATTTAATTAATAATTGAGAATAATATATATCGTGTGTATTTTTTATATATAAATATATCTGTGGAAACATTTTATTCCTCGTAATAAAACCGCTTAATTTCTCTGATTCTACATGATGATTTGCATTTAATTGCGATTTATTAGTTATTTTCGTAATCCATCATTGGCTATCGTCATAGTCTATTATTTCGTAGTCTATTATTTTGTATAGTCTATCATTGAAATATCATTTTCTGCAGTGTTAAATATGAATATATTAAGCTCAGGGAAACGATACCGTTATATAAGATCTTGATTTTGTCTATTCTGTATTACGGTTTATATTAATAAATCCAATACGATCTATTCGTGATATTATATAATCACTTTTGTAGATTATTGTTGACAGCAGGAAGAATAGCAAAAAATTCGAAACCTACATCGATTAAAATTATTTTATACAATTAATAAAAACTCTTAATCGCATCTGAATATTTATAGTATTATCTGCTTTATTTTGGAGTTCCTTGTGGCAAATATATTTAAATATATTCTATAAATATTTTTTTTGTCTCTATGTATATTTATTTTATACATCGAATTATTAATCTTTAATTTGTTTTTTAAAAAGTACTTTTTATATTTTTGATCAGATGACCTTCAGAAACAAGCTTTTGTTCTCTTCAGAAAAATTCGTGCAGTTGAAGTTGCATCGTTGAAGTTGCAGTCGATCGTGATTTCCGGGAAGTACCTTTTGTTCTCACATAGAAAAGAACGGACAAAGAATTTTCCCACAGGTTATGCGTATCTTGGCACATTTACAAGCCGAACTCGCGACGGTGCGTTTGTCTGATTCGTCCAGGTTTCCGACGTCGTGTAGATTTTTAATGATAGGAGTGGTTTGTAATATGAGATGAAAACGATTAGGTGAAGCTGCGCAAAGTATTGCCCGACGACGGCGGCGGCAGCAGTTCCTCGCGGCAGCGACTGTTCCTCGCCGCGGCGGCAGATTGCCTCGCTACTTCCGGCTATGCGTCGCGCAAGGGATATCGAAGGAAGCTTACACGTGCAAAAGGTATCGTTTTGCTGATCTCGTGCTCGTAACATATCAACTAATCCAGTCAAACCATCTGAACTAACCCAACTAATTTGACTAATTTTTCTTGGCCTTCACGAGTCATTTTGCGACGTAGAACACTCTGCGAGTTCCGGAAACGATTTCACGGCGGAATCGACTTACCTTGGAGATTGACAAGTGAATCTAATTGAATCGGTAGCGTGATTTAACTCGGGAATAGTCACTGACAGTTTTTTTATCTAAACGAGTTTTTTTTATCTCATCGGGAGTGTTTTTATTTCAATTAGAATGATTATTATTAACAATATATTGTATATTATTGATTGTTTTCCTATTTATTTGTATTTAATTTTTTTTATTAGTACTCGAGAATTATGAATATGGATTTAATCATAATTTTCTGAAAAAAGTAAATAGAAATCAAACAACCATTAAATGGAGCACATTAAATAGTATTATGATAGTATATATTTATTTAAAAAAAATAAAGATTTTTAAGTAATATTTAAGTAATATCGCTTTTTTGCGAGTTTTTGATAGAATTGTGTATTTGGAGGTTATAAAGAATAGTTATTAAAAAAAGAAAGAAAATATGTTAAAAAATATTTGTTCGAAACAATATTTTTTACAATTCACATTTTTTCGCCGCTGGGAGTAAAAACGTTCCAGATGACTATTCCCAGGTGACTATTAAAGATGTATTACTCTCATTTTACAAATGCGTTAATATTTATATTTTAAATAAACTATATACACATAAAAATGTTGTGTCTATAATATTCTATTTTTATTGAATAATACGTTTTTACAGTTTATTTATTTTATTTGTTATTTTTTTATTACTACAATTTAAAAAAATTGATAAAAATTTTAGTTTTTATATAAAAGCTTTAAGAATTTAAAATGATTTATATAAAATTTTATTGCGATGCAGAGATTATTCTGCAAATGAACAAATAAATAAATTTTATTTATTTATACAGACTAATCTGTGCCTCGCAGTAAAACTTTACATAAATCATCTTGAATATAAAACTTATATAAAAAAATTGAGATTTTTATTATTATTTTATAATACATTTCCATGCATTTCCATTTTAAAGCATAGATAAAAATAATATTACTTTTTATTGAAATAATTTTTAATCTATAATAGATTTTGAACCGTCGTTAAATTTTTTAAATTATTTTTAAATGCGATGTAAAACAATCTGTATTCATTATTTTGAAAGCATGAATAATCATTGTTAAGAAGCGACATTAAACGAGACGCAATATGCCCAGTAAGCTGCCAACTATACACGTATCAACGAATATGCTCGGTGTACAAACACGATGTGTTTAATTATTTGGAAATGGTATACAAATAAGCTGGATATTAACGCATTCGTGTTGGAATTATCTTCCGCAACACGTTCGGTGTTTGCGCCAATATAATAATAATCTTTGTAGGGCACATTAAAATAGCGAAAACGAGATATGGTGAGTTTCGAGATAAAACAGAAGCCCGCGACGACGATTTCATCGATTTTCATCCGCGTTGCGATATACCTACGTTATTTACTTCGCGAAATTTCTGTTTCGTCATGCGCATTCTCAAAGACGTGCTGTACATGTTTTAATCACAGTCGCTGTATCTAGCCGAGTTGCAGCGCGTTCTCTCAAGCAATTAACTTGATCTTCGTGAATTGGCTACATTTTCGTATCGATCAGCAACTTCGCGAAGCTCATTTTGCTTCACCTTATCGTTATATAATATATTCGCCTTTATTATTCAAAATACATCGCAAACAGCATGCTAAAGTAATGGGTGAAGATAAGAGTGAACTAAAATGCATGTTGCAGCTCGAGAAAAGCGGTTAACAACGTTGTTAATCCGCTTGTATAGTCGTCACATTTTTCGCCAAGCAGGTTTTATTTAAATTCTCTTCGCAGTTTGTGGTTACTAGCACGGAAAGACTTTGTACTAGAAAACGTACTTGAATTGCCTGTATCAAAATATTCCGCATATCAATGATGTAAATTACGTGCTTAAGACATTAAAGTATGTATTTCATTATGTATCATATATAACGTGAAAATTAATGCAACTGTAATTCTGTACTGTTCGAAATGTTTTTATTTAATCTCCGGAGCTGATGAGTCTATATTAGATCCACTCAATTATAAATCTCTTCTAAAATAATAAAACAATTCAATTTTCCTTATCTTACATCTGTAAATTTGGATTATTTTTATTAACATATACTTATTCATTCCTTTTTATACGAGTTACATGTCATTTTGGTTCCTTCAAATTAATTAGACCCTTTTAATTAGCACACAATGGTTGCTAAAAGTTTCAATTAATAATTTTATTGGATTCCTTAGATAAAGAATTTTTATAAATAAGGATTTAATATACAATAAGTCTTTAATATATTTTAGTATTTAAAATATCGTGTTTTCAAGTTGTACCAACATTAAGTTTATACCAAGAATTTACTTATAAATTGAAAAACAGATTGACGTAAACATTATCGCAAAATTATATGTTGGCCGGAAACTTTAACACTGTAAATTAAATGGATTTTACAGACCCAACGTTAGTAACGGTGGTGCAGATTTTGGCGTTAGCCTTCGGAAGGTTAAGGCAAAAAATACAAAAGACATGTCAATACTTATATCTTTAAATACATATCTCAGAATTATTGCTTTCTTCTTCATTTAAAAATCTTCGACGGATTTGAAAATAATTGCTCAAGATATTAATAATTGTTCCTGCCACATAAACATACATATAAATTTCCAAATATCTTTAAATATCATCGCTCCTAAAGCGCGCTAACAAACATTTTATTCTCCAATTAATTTCGAATAAATTTCGGCAAAATCCTCATGGCAAAATTTATCAAAGGTTTTAATATTGGAAAAATGATAAAACAGAGAAGATGTTTAATTAAATTTCCGATACTAAAAAAAAAAATCATTTCTGAGGTAATCGTCGTTCATGGACGAGAGTAATCGTCGACGTACTTATTTTCTTGTCAGCTATATGCACGTAAGCGATTATAGACGGTCGGACTCTTCCTCTGTCGATTTTCTTTTCGAGGCGGCGATTTTCTTTTCAAGGCGCGCAACGTACGTCACGATCTTCGTGAGCCACGGTCAATGATGATTATCGCAAGGTACATGATTCCGGAATCTTATAGATATGGGACACGAACCGTACAAACCTCTCGAAGCGGCTGATAATGTTTTCGATGGCTGTTCGCAACAGCCGCGCCGCGTCGGCTTGCGAAGAAGGACACTTTAGATTAGTTGCTCGTCGTCTCGGCTGTATATAGACTCGTCACTCTTTAGCAAAGAAATCTTTCAGATCGCTGGTGAGGTATGTAGGTGAGTACTCGTGGAGAATCAGTTCGCAAACCCTGAAATGAGGAGTCTCGCGACGCAGTCACATTCGCCGATATCGATTTTTTTTCATAAAAGTTACCTTTTTATTTAACATAGAGTGAAAATTTAAATATAGTATTCGGTCTTGATATAATTTCTTGATATTGCCTGCAATTTATCTTGTATTTTTTATACTTTTTGGAGTGGAATCTCACTATAAAGAGTGAAAATTGAACCGGTATCGAAAAAGAGTGGCTCAATTTTTACTCAATTTTCACTACGAATGCACTGAATCATTTGATTGACCCATCGGAAAAATATTTTAGGAATGGACCAATCAGAGAATGCTTCAAAATATTTGTAGTATCATGTTGACCTATCCTAGTATGTA